GAAGACTCACTTGCAAAACCCTGTAGATGCAGATAAGATTCGGTAGGCGAGTTGAGCTATCTGTACACCTCAGAGACAGCAGAAATCAAAAACAAATCTTGTAATTCATCTTCATTTCTACTGTCTATGTAGACGAGGTAACTACGCAACACAGCCGCTGCGGAGCCCCCCAGAAATGAAAATTCGTATATTTGTGGGTTATGTTTTTTCTCTCTTTTTTTTCTTATTTTTAGATGGATTTAATCGCATTCAATTAGGACGGAGTAGATGAAGAAAAGAGGGAAGAAGAGGCGACTGAGGAGGCCCAGCAAGTCAGTGCATTATTTGTTTTGAATTTTGCTTTTTTTTCTTCTCTGTACTCTTTCTTTTGCTCTCTTCATTTTCATTCTTTTTTCAGGCTCTAGCAGCCAGAATCCGCGACAGCGTAGACGTAAGGCATTTAATCAAAAAGAAAAAAGAGAGAAAGAAAGAAAAGAATTAAAATTAAAAAAAAAAACTTTTGCTGTCTTCTGTGCAGGAAGAAGTTGAAGCAATGTCTCTCGAAGGACAAGAAGCCATTCGTGGGTGTTTGTTTTTGATAAAGCTGCATGCATCTGCTTTATCTTTCTTTATTTGCTGTTGTCTTTTGTTTTTCTTCTTCTCATTATCTTCTCTTCTTCTGCAGGAGACAGCAGAGTCTCTACCGCCACAGATTCAGTTCTGGTGCGCAGGTGTACATACATACAGCTGGATTTGTTTTAAAATGCGTATTTATCTTCATATATATTGTTTTTTTGCTTTGATTTCTTTTATTCTTTTCTCTTTCATTGCTATTCTTTGCTGCATGCAGGCCTCCATCGCTGCCGCTGCAGCAGCTCAGCCATATACAGAAGCAGAAGTAGAAGAAGAAGAAATAAACAAAACTTTTCTCTCTAGAGGCAACTTAGGAGGGCACTTGTCTCCTTCTCCTCCAACTCATGCTGCTGGCCCTTTACCCTGTCATTCTTCGTCTCCTTCTTCTTCATCATCATCATCATCTTCTTCTTCTTCTTCATCATCATCATCTTCTTCTTCTTCTTCTTTGTCTTTCTCTCACTTTGCGCAACTTCCTTCAAACGGTGCGTCTGCATGTTGTTGTTTTCCGTTGTTGTTTTGATTTTGCTTTCTTTTGGGGTTTGTTTGTTTGTTATCTCTTTCTTTTGTTGTTGTTCTTCTTCTATCTCTTCTTTTCTTTTCCTTTCTTTTACTTGTCTTGTCTTCTGTTTTGTTTTGTGTTTTGTGTTGTTGTTTTGCATGCGGGTTTTTAATAATTTCTTTTTGTTATTATTTTCATCTTCTCCTCGGTTTGTCTTCTGTTTTCTTTTTTCTTCTCTTTCTTATTTTTTATTTATTTCTGTCTTCTTCTCTGTTATTTTTATTACACACTCTAATGTTTTGTTTGGTTTTGTTTGATGCCTCTCCTGCATGCGTTGTTAATTATATTTATTTTTCTTGTTTTTCTCTCCTCTCACTTATTTCTGCTTCTTCTCCAGGCCCCATCGACGTGGCTGCTCTTCAGCAGAATTCAAAAGCAGCAGCAGCAGCAGCAACAGCAGCAGCAGCAACAGCAGCAGCACAAGAGACTCAGGCGCCAACAGAAGAAGAAGAAACCGTCTCTGTAAGCCTTAAAACGAACAGCAGCAGCCACTTGCTTCTCCTGTCTTTGCATGCAGCATTTGCATGCGCTACCAATTATTATTATTATTATTATTATTATTATTATGTTTATTATTTTTTCTGTCTTTGTTTGTCTTTTGCAGGTGCTCAGCCCCTTCACTTCTTCGGTCTCTCCTTCTCTGAGGCGCCACCCAAACAAACTTAAAAAAGAAAGAGGAATACCCAACGGCTTCTACGGCCCTTCGCGCGCTCTCTAGACTCTGCTGCTGCTGCTGCTGCTGCTGCTGCTGTTGCTGCTGCTGCTGCTGCTGCTGCTGTTGAAAAGCAGCAGGCGCGACACGTCGTAGCCCTTTGATTAAGCGAAGGGGAGACCTCTAAGGGTTTGTTAGATGCTGTCCTATAGATGAGTTTTTGTTTTGTTTTGTTTATATGTTTATAATTAGTGTTATTTAATGCTAGGAGTTAAATTAGTAATGCATTTTAAAGCTTAAATGCCTTTCTTTGCATGCAGACCCCCAGTATATTTTCATACACACTTCGTATAAACAACACCAAATAAACAGCAAAATAAAAGTTCTGCTGCTGCGCAAGAAAAGACGGAAGTAGCAGCAGCCTCCCAGTGCTATTGCTGCTGCTACTGCAGCAGCAGCAGCAGCAGCAATTGTTGCCGTTGCTGCTGCTGCAACAACAACAGAAACAGCAGCAGCAAGAAGCCCCGCTCCACAGCATCATCTCTGAGACGCTCCCTGGCTTCCCTGGCTGTGAAGCATTGTGCATGTGCTATACACATATACGTATATATAAATATATAAACATATATATATATATAGATATAATTTGTCTATTAATACTGCTATTGAATTTCTCTGTAGATCGCCTTCTTCCTCTCCGCCACCCTCGGGTGTTTTCCAGGCTTGGAATGCGCAATGCGGTTGTCTTCCTGATAAACAAAACAATACACAACAAACCCTAAACCCTAAACCCTAAACCCTAAATCCTAAACCCTAAACGGAGCCGCCTTCAACGGGTCTTTATTCAGCGAGGCAAACACTCATCGTCGCTGGTTAAGGGTTTTAAGCAGTATCCAGATAGGGTTTAGAGCTAGGGTTTAGGGTTTAGAGCTAGGATTTAGGGTTTAGAGCTAGGGTTTAGGGTTTAGAGCTAGGGTTTAGGGTTTAGAGCACACCCTTCTTTTTGCAGCTTCCTTCATAATGCGTTTCTTTTCTTGCGTCTTCTTTATCAACTTCGGCACGTGGTGGTGTCTGTGTACACCAAAACCACCACAAAACCCCAAACCCTAAACCCTAAACCCTAAACCCCAGACCCTAAACCCTAAACCTTAAACCTTAAACCCTAAACCCCAGACCCTAAACCCTAAATCCTAAATCCTAAGTCCTAAACCCTGAACCCTAAACCATAAACCCCAAGCTCTTAAACCATAAGCCCCAAGCCCTAAACCCTAAACCCTAAACCCTAAACCCTAAACCCTAGACCCTGTGTATGGAGGGTGTGATTGAGTACCTTTCTATGCGTTTGATTTCTGGGAGGTGCGCGTATTTTTCTTGCAGTTTTTTTCTGTAGTTTAGAGATAGTCTTGCTCGGTAACTCTGAGGCCCCAGTGCTGCTGCAGCTTCGCTCTTCCAGACCCTCAAACACATATCCGCAGAGCCGCTAAACACGAAGCGTCCGTCAGCAGAGAATCGGCAGCTCAACACGCTGAAAACAATTAAAATTAAACAAATAAATACAACATTTAAACATATCTTCAATTATCTCCTATACAACAATCATAACACCAACGCTATGCTGTACGTACACCCCAAGAATATATATATATATATATATATATATGCAAAGCAAAAAAGACGACAGCATTAACATATACGGTGTAATAACAAGAACAGCAGCAGCATCTGCTGCTTCTGCTTGTACTGCAGCAGAAGCAGCTGCTGCAACGAGCATCTGCTTTAGTGCAGCAGCAGCAGCAGCAGCAGCAGCAGCACAGCCGTGAGTTTGGGGCTTGCCTTTGCATGCGGCGTGTGTGATAGACGTCGCGGCTTCTACCTTCTTCGGTTCGAAACAAACGAAGGGTGCCGTCAAAAGAAGCAGCAACAAACTCCTTTCCTGTAGGGGAGTAGTCCACGTCCAGCCTGCAGCACAAACCCTAAACCCTAAACCCTAAACCCTAAACCCTAGGACAGAGTCTCGCTGTAACGTCTTCTTCGAATCGGAAGAGAGAAAAAGAAAAAAGCTGCAGCGTCTCTGGTCCTCATAAGCCACCCTAAACCCTAAACCCTAAACCCTCGACTTCTGTTCTCGAAGAGCGCCATCTGACGCACAATAAGGGTTTAGGGTTTAGGGTGTAGGGTTAGTGTGTACGTACACCGCGTTAACGAAGTCCTTATGCACCCGAAGGGCTTCTGAAAGTTTACGCATGTCGTAGGTATAAAGGTTTTGGTCTTCGCTGGCTACTGTAAAATTAATCGGCTGCATCGGGTTCCAACTTATTGCATTTGTGCGCATCTGCATGTACACCCCAACACATCACTTAGCTGCATGTACACCCCAACTCATCACTTAGCTGCATGTACACCCCAGCTCATCATTTAGCTGCATGTACACCCCAACAGTGTATTGACTTCAAACAGCTGCATGTACACCAATCCGCATAAACAAACCGAAAAAGCCCTTTAGTATGCACAACACCAACAAGGGTTTAGGGTTCAGGGTTTGGGGTTTAGGGTTTAGGGTTTAGGGTTTGGGGTGTACCTTCATGAGCACTCTCCGTATTGGGGTGTTTCCGCGTATATCTGTGAGGAGACAAAAAAAGAAAGCAGACAAGACAAACATTGACTAGAAACAACAAAACGCAAACCCTAAACCCTAAACCCTAAACCCTAGACCGCTCACCATACAGCGCGACGGAATTCCCGCTGAGTCCCGCACCAAAGATGGATGTCTGCAGTTCAACGCACTCACAACCTCATCACAACCCCCTCAGACATCTAACTAGCTAGCTGGCTAGCTAGCTAGCTAGCTATGTAGCTAGCTAGCGTACAAGACCCCTAGGACTATATAGCTAGGCATATACCTATGTAGGTAGGTAGCTAGCCAGACAGCTAGCAAAGACCCCAACAGATCAAAGGAGCTAGCTAGCCATGCAGCTAGCTATGCAGCTAGCTAGTAGCTAGCTAGCTAGCCAGCTAGCTGTTTGTTTACCTCTGCAGGATTGAAGCGGACGCAGTAGACAGAGTCAGAGCCCCAAGAGAAAGTCTGCAAAGGAGAAGAGCGGTGAGGCTCCCACAGCTGCACCGTCTCGCCACCGCTCACTGCGCACAAACCCTAAACCCTAAACCCTAAACCCTAAACCCTAAACCCTAAACCCTACTTGTGGTTCAAGCCCCCTCATATTTAGGGTTTCGGTTGTGTGCAGCTGCTTTAACAGCCCGTCATCACGCTGCAGCATTGCTGCTTCTTCAGCGTCTAAATTAAACAAAGAACTGCGTGCAGGTATTTTAAACTGCTTTATTTTTTTATCGTCTCCTCCCGATATTAAAAATGCATCAAAGGGAGACACGGCGAGGCCTGAGGTGTATATACACCCCAACACATCAATGCAGCAATTCAAAAACGCATCATTCATTAACCCTAAACCCTAAACCCTAAACCCTAAACCCTTAAGTCGCACACATATCCCTAATGTAAAAGTACTGATACGACACAGATATCAACAGCTGATGCTGCTGCTGTTCTTCCTGTTCTTTCTGCTGCAGCAGCATGAACAACAGCAGCATGAACAGCAGCAGCAGCAGCAGCAGCAGCAGCAGCAACAGCAGCAGCAGCAGCAGCAGCACACCTCTGACGAATCCGTCATGGGCTTTGATTTTGGCGGTGCAAATTTTGGTCGCCAAATTCCAAGCGCAGATTTCGCCGTTGCACGAACTCGAAAATATCACTCCCTGCAGCAGCAGCAGCAGCAGCAGCAGCAGCAGCAGCAGCAGCAGCAGCAGCAGCGGAAGTAGCAGAA